CCTTATTTTGAGACAGGGTCTCACTGTGTAGTCCTGGATGTCCTGGAACTCACTGTTTAGACCAGGCTGCCCTTGAACTCATGGAGATCTGCCTGCCTCTGCCTCCAGAGTGCCCAGCCAGCACTTTAATTTTATTTTATTCAGTGTGTGTGTGTGTGTGTGTGTGTGTGTGTGTGTGTGTGTGTGTCTGTGAGAGAGAGAGAGAGAAGGGAGAGAGAGAGAGAGAGAGAGAGAGAAAATGTCCGTGTGTGAGTATGTCATTTGTGTGCATGTACCCATAGAGGCCAGGAGAGGGTGTTGGATCCCCCAGAATTGGAGTTGGAGGTGGTTGTGAGCTGCTCGTTGCATCTCTCCAGCCCCTGCTGTAACTGTATTCATCCCTCCTTTGTATGTGCTGGGCACATGCCTATAGTCATGCATGTACATGCTTTTATTTCTGAATGTACATGTACATGCCTATACGTGTGCTTGTGGAGGCCAGAGAAAGGCATCAGTATTCTGGTTTATCACCCTGTCATTCACCCTTGAGTCAAGGTCTCTCATGCAACCTGGAGCTTGCTAGGTTTTTGTTTTGTTTTGTTTTTAGCTAGGTTGGCTGGGTATTAAGCCCCAATGTCTCTACACACAGCCGGTTATAGGTCCATGTTTGCCTTTTACATTGGTGTTGTGGATCTGAATTCAGGTCCTCATGCTGTGTAGCAGGTGCCCTTAACCCCCAAGCTATCTTCCAAGTTCTCAGCTAATCTGCTGGGTGTGGTGGTGCAACAAACAAATGTTCTAAGTTTTGGTCCTTTATGTATTTATACTGATTTTTATTTATTTATTGATATGAGGATGCCAAGTTATAGTTCAGCTTTGGATCTCCTGGTAACTTGTGTGTTCATGTGTGTGCCTGCTTGTGTGTGGAGGCCAGAGGTTGATATCAGGTGTTTTCCTCTGTTGCTCTCCACTTTTGTTTGCTTGTTTGCTTTGAGTCTCTCTATGTAGCTCTGGCTGTCCTGGAACTTCATATGTAGACCAGGCTGGCCTTGAATTTATAGCTTGCCTGCACCTCTTGAGTGTCACATATCTGGCTCTTTTATTTTGGGGGGAAAGGGCTATTGAACCTAAAGCTCACTGATTTGACTAGACTAGCTGGCTAGTGAACTCCAAGAATCCCGTTGCTATTGCCTTAGTGCTGGGCTTAGTGTCTGCCACACCTGGCTTTTTATCTGGGTGTCTGGGATCCGAGTTTGGGTCCTCATGCTTACACAACAACTACCTTAATGACTGGGCCATCTCTTCATCCTCTAGTGGTAAATTTTATAGTTCTAATCATGTACAATAGCTCGTGCCTAAAATCCCAGAATATAGGAGGCTGAGGCAGGAGGATTGTGTGAATTCAAGGCCAACCTGGGCTACAGAGTCTCACTTCTTTCCACTTACTCCCGGCTCCCTGTGCACACAAAGTATCCTTTTAAAAATTAGTACATAAAAGCTTGCTGGAGTTAATAGGGATTGAGTGTAGCTCACAGGTCAGTTGGGGAGAGAACACTCATTTCATTAAGCTCAGATATTTTGGTTTTTCTCAGAAGTATCTTACAGTTTTAAGTGTGTAGGTCATGGACACATTTTATTAAATTTCTTTAGTTACATTCTATTGAGAGTGCTACTGTATTTACAGTTTTCATTTATTTTTGGTTTTTGCCACAGGGCCTCCCTATGTAGCCCATGCTTGCTACAGAATATTTGTTTAACTATGCAAAGATGTGTTGCTGTTTCACCTTGCCTGCCTAAGGCACCTGATTGGTCTAATAAAAAGATGACTGGCCAATAGTGAGGGAGGAGGTATAGGCAGGATTTCCAGGCTGGGAAAGTAAGTAGGAGGAGGAATTTAGGCTTGGGGAAGAAAGAAAAAGATACCAGGAGCCAGCCAGCCAGCCAAACATGGAGGAAACAAGAAGGTCGTGCATGTAGAATGAAAGAAAGGTAAAAAGTCCTGAGGCAAAATGTAGATGAATAAAAACAGGTTAAATTAAAAGAGCTAGTGGGACAAGCCTAAGCTAAGGCCGAGCATTCATAATTAATAACAAGTCTCTGTGTTATTATTTGGGAACTGGTTGGTGGCCCCAAAGAAAATTCCAGCTACACATGCTGGCCTTAGACTCATGACTGTCATGTTTTCACTTCCCAAGTGCTAGGATTATAGACGTGTGCTACCATGTCCAGCTTTCATTTTTTTCTAATTATTTAATGCTAGTGATTTAATGCTAGTGTATAAAATGAAATTATGAGTTTATGTTTTGGCCACGTGTCTGCAACTTTGTTAGATCTGGCTTTCTTTTTCTTTCTTTTTTTTTTTTAACATGTTTCTTTTTTTTTAATACATTTTTTTAAAGATTTATTTATTTATTATGTATACAAAACATGTTTCTTTTTTTTAATACATTTTTTTAAAGATTTATTTATTTATTATGTATACAACATTCTGCTTCCATGCATATCTGCACACCAGAAGAGGGCACCAGCTCTCATAAGGGATGGTTGTGAGCCACCATGTGGTTGCTGGGAATTGAACCCAGGACCTCTGGAAGAGCAGTCGGTGCTCTTAACCTCTGAGCCATCTCTCCAGCCCCCATATTTCTTTTTTTAAAATTATTTATTTGTATTTTATGTACATTGGTGTTTTGCTTGTTTATATGTCTGTGTGAGGGTGTTGGATCCCCTGGAACAGGAGTTACAGACAGTTGTGAGCTGCAATGTGGGTGCTGGGAATTGAACCTATGTACTTTGTAAGAGCAGCCAGTGCTTTTAACCACTGAGCCATCTCTCCAGCCCCTGATTTTCATTTTGGCAGCATTTCATAGATTTGTATTGGTATCTACAAATAAAGGCAACTTTGCTTTTGCTCTTCGAGTTTAACCTTCATTCTTCCTCCTTTCCCCCTTCCTCTTCCTTCTTCCCAGCTGTTCTTCCTCACCACTGTGTCCAGATCCTTCTATTTTTTGTTTTATTGTATTATCTAGAACTTTAAGATGCTCAAAGGGGTAGTGAGTGTGAACTTCTTTCCTGGTGGTGATCTGGAGGGATTGCATGTCGTCTTCCACACTCAGGTGTGACCTTTGCTGGAGGGTTTTAGTAGAGGTTCCCTTCATCAAAATGAGGAAACTCATAGTTTAGTTTTTAGCTTGCCTTTTTTTTTGTTTTTTTAAGACAGGGTCTCTCTACATAGCCCGGCCCTCCTGGAACTCATTGTGTAGACCAGGCTGGCCTTACACTCACAGAGATTCACTTGTCTCTGCCTCCCAGAGAATGCTGAGATTAAAGGTGTTCGACACTATGGCTGGCTGGCTGGTTTGTTTGTTTGTTTGTTTGTTTGTTTATTTATTTATTGAGATAGTCTCACTGTGTAGGCCAGGTTTCCTGAAACTTGCTATGTAGACCAGGATGGCCTTGAACTTTTAGCAGTCCTCCTGCCTCTGCCTCCTGAGTGCTGGGATTCTAGGTGTTCCTGGACCACCACACCAGGGTGCCTTGTTTTCTAAGAGACCTGGTCTTGCTTCATTCCTGGGACTGACCTCAAACTCCTGGTCTCAAGACATCATGCCTTATTAGCTTGAATAGCTTAGGCCACAGGCAGATCCACTACTTCTTACTTTGTTTTTTGTTCTCAAAATATTGTTTGTGGGGCTGAAACACTTGTTGCTCTTCCAGAGGACTGGGTTTGAGTTGTAGAACCCACAGAGCCCACATGGTAACTCCTAACTGTTTGTAATTCCTCTTGATCTCATGCTCGCTTCTGCTCCTCAGGATCTTCCACGCATATGGTGCACACAAACTCATGTAAATAGATAAACATTTAAAAATAATTCTGCTGGAGAGATAGCTCAGTGCTTAAGGGCACTTGCTGCTCTTTTAGAGGACCCAGGTTTGGTTCCCAGTACACACATGGCAGTTTACAACTTTCTAAAACTCCAGTTTTAGAGGATCCAACTCTTCCTGGGCCTTTGAAGGCACTGCAAGTGGTGCACACAGATGTTGGCAAAACACATAAAAATTTAAAGAAAATTTCAAAAGCAAATTGTGGAGAGATGACTCAGGTTAAAAGCACTGGTTGCTCTTCCAGAGGTCCTGAGTTCTATTCCCAGCAACCACATGGTGGCTCACAACCATCTATAAGATCTGATGTCCTCCTCTGGTGTGCATAAAGACAGGTTACTCATATACATAAAATAAATATTAAAAAAAAAGAACACTTGGCTGCTCTTGCAGAGGACTTGGCTTTGGTTCCCAGCACACATGGCAGCCCTTAACCATCTGTTACTCCAGTTTGAGGGGATCCAACATCCTCTTCTGACGTCCTTGGGCACCAAGCCCCCATGTGATAACACATACACACATGTAGGTGAGACACTTATAAATAAAGCCTAAAGAATTATAAATAAAAAATCTTAAAAATGTAAGTTTTGAATGGTGTCTTTTGCTCTTTTTGGTATCTACTGATAGCTAATCTTTTTGTTTTCTTAAAGGCATGTGCCATCACACAGGCTCATGCCTTTAATCCCAGCAGAGGCAGGTGGATCTCTGTGAGTTTGAGGCCAGCCTGGTCTACAGAGTGAGTTCCAGGACAGCCTCCAAAGCAATAAAGAGAAACCCTGTTTTAAAAAAAAAAAAAAAAGATTGTGATCCTTAACCGTTTATAACCAACCCCATTTAAATGAAAACAAACATTTATAAACAATATTTGGGATTTTGGGTGTTGTTCTCTCCAAACTACTTCCAGCTGTTAGCGGGTGTTGAAATACCATGGGGATCCTTAGAAAACACAGAAACTTGGCCAAGTCCTGTAATGTGAGGTTTTCTTGGCTCTGCTAGGTCCTGCCATCACTTCAGCCCCCAAATAACACACAGAGACTCTTAGTTACAATGCTGTTGGCCATTGGCTATGGTTTCTTAGAGGCTACCTCTGATTTAATTATAAACCCATTTCTGTCAATCTAAGTATTCCCACGTGGCCTTACCTTACTGGAGAAAGGTCCAGGGACTTCTTACTCCTCTGGTGTCCTACATCTCGCCTGTTCAGTGTTTCAGCAGAGAGAAGAGAGCAATTTCCTGTTTGTTCTTATATACTGTTACTGCCTGGATCACATGGCAACTTCTCTTTACTACATTTCCCAGAATCCTCCTTGACTCCTAGTCCCACCTATCTTGCTTCCCTATTGGCCAACAATGCTTTATTCAACAACCAATAAGAAACATATACACAGAACAACATTCCCCATCAAGTCCTTTTTGTAGTAGTTTCTAAGGCTGTATCGTCTCAGCTGCTTTAGATGCTGGATCATCTGGGGCACTGACTGCTTCAGGGGGTCTTGCTTCATCAAACCATATTAGTCTGGAAGGAATCTACCGCTTTTTAATTTTCCTGTGGAAACAAAAAGAGAAACTCTTTTTCCAAGTAACTTGTCCTTATACTTAAATTTAGAAGTCAAAGCATCTTCAAAATATATAAGTTGGATTAATCCAGCAGCATTTATACTCAAATGTCTTTTAGCAGTTGTTGTTCCTCAGCAATCAAAAAATTCAAAGATAACACAATAACATACAGTATCCAGACTCTCTGTGTATTTTCCATCTTTATGTGGCTTTTTTTTTAAAAAGTAAAAAAATTATTTCTTGTATGCTTTTCATTTTCTGGGATAGGGTTTCTCTGTACTTTTTGCCTGTCCTGGAATTCACTCTCTACACCAGGCTGGTCTTGAAATTACAGAGATCTGCCTGCCTCTGCCTCCCGAGTGCTGGGATTAAAGGTGTGCACATCCAACGATCTGCTTACTTACACTTGTTTGGTAAAAGAGCCATGAGGCAGTTTTTTGCTGTTCATTGCTTATGCGGAGTAAAGAAACGGCTCTTAGAGGAGCCGTGAGCTTCTGCTTGTCTCAATAGAGCTCACCCGAGAAAAATGCTGTTACCAAGAAGCTGTGCTTGTCTCTGCTCATTTGTTTTTAGAATCCCCTTTTAAGGGGCTGGAGAGATGGCTCAGAGGTTAAGAGCACTGACTGCTCTTCCAGAGGTCCTGAGTTCAATTCCCAGCACTCACCTGGCATCTCACAACTGTCTGTAACTCCAGTTCCAGGGGATCTGATACTTTCACACCAATGCTCATAAAATAAAGTTAAAAAAAAAAAAAAAGAATCCCCTTTTAAGCTTTTGTGAGGTTTTATGTGGAAATTCTTTTTACCATGTTGCTGGTGCCATTTTGTTAAGAGTATTCTTCCTGCCAGCCTGGTCCCAGAGCTGCATTAGCTGTTGGCTTGGGCTTCTTATTGGCTAGCTCTGTCTTAATTTTTAACCCATTTCTATCAATCTAAGTATTTCCATGTGGTCTTTCTTACCAGAGGAAGAGTCCAGACCTGTTGCTCCTCTCACATTCTACATGGTGACTGACTCTGCCTAAGTTTCCCAGAATCCTTCTTGTCTCCTAATCCCACCTATCATCTTGCCTCAATGGCCACAGTGGTTTATTCATTAACCAATAAGAGAAACATATGTACAGAAGACATCCCCATTGTGTGTATGTGTGTATGTGTGTGTGTGTGTGTGTGTGTGTGTGTGTGTGTTGACTACGCACCTGTGCAATTGAATGTAGAGGTCAAAGGTTAATGTCGGTTGTCTTTCCTATTTGCTTTCCATCTTATTGTTTTACCTACCTCCCATCTGCCTTTCAAGTGCATGTTTGTGTGTGCCTGTGCATGTGTGCATGAATCTGTGTGTGTGTGTGTGTGTGTGTGTGTGTGTGTGTGTTCGCGCTATAGCATTCATGTGAAAGTCTGTTTCTGGGAGTCTGTTTTTGCCTTGTATCATGTGGGTCCCAGGGATTAAATTTTGGTTGTTAGACTTGGCAGTAAGCACCTTTACCTGCTAAACCATTTCACCAGTGCTTTACCATATTTATATATTGATTTAGTTAGTTTTTTGGAGACAGGGTCTCTCTACATAGCCTGGCTGTCCTGGAACTTACTCTGTAGACCAAGCTGGCCTCAAACTCACAGAGATCCTACTGCCTCTGCCTCTTGAGTGCTGGAATTAAAGGCCCTTTAAAATATTTGTTTGTTTTTTTGTGTTAATTTCTAAAAACATAAAAATTACTAATTTTTGCTAGTACTTTCAGTTTCCTTCCTTCTTTCCTCCCTCCCTTCCTTCTTCCTGTTATTGACTGATTTATTGAGATGGGGCGATGAAAGCCAGATATGCCATAATCCCAGCATTCAATTGGCTGATGAACGTTCAAGGCCAGTCTTTGCCACAGAGCTAGACCTTGTTTCAGGTAACACAGATTTAAAAGTCAAACTCTGGAACAGCCGCTGGAGGTGTTTGTGTTCTCCAGCCTAGGTGCTCTCTGGCTTCCTGTCAGGGGATCCAGGTTTTCGTCAGGTATCATTGCCTCCTGCTTATGCAGTTTTGGTTGCTCTCTCTCTCTCTCTCTCTCTCTCTCTCTCTCTCTCTCTCTCTCTTTTTCTTTTTTAAAAATATTTTTCATATGTGTATGTGAGTGAGCCTGTGTATGTGTACTAAGTGCAACCAGTGCCAGTGGTGGTCAGAAGAGGGCACCAGATTCTCTGGAACTGGTGCTATAGATGGTTGTGAGCCACAGTGTGGTGCTGGGAACCTGACCTGGCTCTTAAGTGCTCTTAACCACTGAGCCATCTCTCTAGCATTTCTCTTTTTGAGACAGGTCTGACCATGTAGACCAGGCTGGCCTTTAACTCATGGAGACCCATCTGCCTCTATCCTTCTGAGCTCAGAGATTAAAGGCATAGATCACTATGCTTCATCTTTTTAAAAATGTATTTATTGCTTTTTAAATAAGATTATTTTGTACATGAACGCTTTGCTTTTTTTTTTTTTTTTTTTTTTTTTTTTTTTTT